AGACAGCGAGCGTCTCACCGGGCAGTGGTGGGGTATGCCTTTAATCCCAGCACTCTGAGAGGCAGAGACAGAGGCAGGAAGATCTCTGTGAGTTCAAGGCCAGCCTGGTCTACAGAGTGAGTTCCGAGACAGCTAGGGTTACACAGAGAAACCTTTGTCTTGAAAAATCAAACCAACCAAACAACTACTACAAAAACATGGTCTCACGTAGCCCAGGTTACCTTTGAACTCACTGTGTAAGGAGAGGATGCCTTTGAATTCCTGATCATCCTGTCTGTGTTGGGGTTGGAACCCAGGGTTATTTTGTGTGCTACACAAGAATCTGCCAACTGAGCCATCTCTCCAGCCTTCCTGATACTGGTTTTGTTATGGTATGGTGTGGTGGTGTGGTGGTGGTGGTGGTGGTGGTGTGTGTGTGTGTGTGTGTGAATATGTGTGCAGATGGCGAGGCTAGAGGACACCCTGCATCCTCTATTGCTCTCAGCCCTGTTCCCTTCAGACAGGGTCTGACACTGAATGTGGGGATTCCAGTTTTGCAGCTCCCCCCGCCCCATGCTCAGCAGCCCTAGCCATCCTTTTGTCTCTGCTATCCCTAGGGCTATCAGGCGATTAAACCATGGCAGGCTCAGCCCAGCCTTTGGAGCAGGAGGCCTGACCCTTATTAGCTTCAGTTCTCCAGGGCCTGCCATGTTACCTTGTTACTTACCTGAAATATGCCAGTGCTCCCCATACCTTCCTCTTGCCCCCTGACCCCCCAACACACACACACTGTCTCCTCCCCTCCCGTCTCTCTTCTTTTATTTGAGACAAAGTCTTGCATAGCCCAGGCTGGCCTTGAACTCACTCTGTAACCAAGACTCCCCTTGGACTCCTGACTCCACCTTCCAAATTTTGGGATTATAGACACTGCTGCTATGCCTAGCTCATAGGACGTTCTCTCTACAAAAGGGAAAGTGCCAGGTGTTGTGGGATAATCTTTTTGTACACTGTGAAGATGTGTCATTGTGACTGGTTTAATAAAAGGCTGAGCAGCCAATAGCTAGGCAGGAGAGAATAGGCAGGATTTCTTCGGAGAGAGAATGCCAAGAAGGAAAAAGGGATTTTCACCAGCTGACTCAGAGAAAGTTGAGTGTGCTGTACTGAGGAAAGATAAAAGCCACATGGCAGAGTGTAGATTAATAGAAACAAGTTCATTTAAGTTGTAAAAGCTAGTTGGAAACAAGCCTAAGCTAAAGGCCAAGTTTTCATAATTAATAAGTCTCTGTGTCATTATTTGTGAGCTGGCGGCTCAAAGGACAGTTCAACTACAATTTTTGATTCAGCATGAATATATAAGGTTCCTACTCTTCCCCCATAATGATATGGAAGATTAAAGAAGATAACTTGAAAACTTCAGTCAGTTGTTAGCTATGCCATGAGGATGTACCAAGCAGAATTAACCACGGAAAATTTGATGATTTGCACTAAAGAACATGGAACAACACATTAATTTGAAAGGGTTATTTTAAATATTTATTTTATTTTGTGTATGTGTCCACAGAAGCCAGAAGAAGGTGTCCAATCCCATGGAGCTAGAGTTGTAGGTGTGAGCTGCCACATGGATGCTTAGAACCAAATTCAGGTCCCCTGTAAGAGCAGCAAGTGCTCTTAATCATTGAGCCATCATCCAGCCCCTATTTTAAAAATAGGGAAACATTTCTCCCTACATCGTGCCTTGAGAAGCTATTTCTCAGCACTTTTATGGTAAAGGAAAACGAATCTCCCACCAGAGATTTCGGACAATCCATGGCAGCAGACTGGCAGAATGAAAATATCACTTGTTTCTTTTTTTGCTTGCTCGATGGTGGAGCTGAAGTATGAACTCAAGCCTTTACAGATGGTAAGCATAAGATTTGGTGTGGTTGGGAATAAGTTTAATCCCAACAGTTCTTAAATCAGAGACAGGTGGATTTCTGTGAGTTCAAGGCCATCCACGTCTACATAGCAAGTTCCAGGTCAGTCAGGCTACACAGTGAGACCCTGTCTCAAAAACCAAAGGGGGGTGGGCAGTGTTGGTATACACCTTTAATCCCAGCACTCAGGAGGCAGAGGCAGGTAGATCTTTGAGTTCAAGGTCAGCCTGTTCTAGAGCAAGTTCCAGGACTGCCAGGGCTACACAGGGAAAACCTGTCTTAAAAAACAAAAACAAAAAGCCAAAGGGGTTGGTGAGATGGGTCGGTGGTTAAAGGTAGTCGCTTCTAAGCCTGATTACCTGAGTGATGGGGGATGTCCTTCTGAATATATGTTTCTCATATTGGTTGAAGAATAAAACACTGATTGGCCAGTAGCCAGGCAGGAAGTATAGGCGGGGCTACCCGATGAGGAGAATTCTGAGGAAAGAAAGGCAGAGAGAAGCCACCAGAGAGATGCCATGTAGCCGCCAAAGGAGTAACAGGTCTGGGTATTCTCCGGTAAGACAAGACCGTGTGGAGATACATAGATTACTAGAAATGGGTTAATAATTATAAGAGAACTAGTCAGTAAGAAGCCTGAGCCCTTGGCCAAACAGTTCATAGTTAATATAAGCCTCTGTGTGTTTATTTGGGACTGAAGGCCAGCAGGACCAAGCAGGAAAGAAACTCGTCTACACCTGAGTTCAGTCCCCAAGAGCCCACAAGATGGAGGAAGAGAGCTGTGTGTGAGTATTTGTTCTCTGACTCCCATATATGCACTGTGACACATGCTTGTACATATGGGGGGGCAGTGAAGGGAGAGGGAGGGAGGGAGGGAAAATGG